ATCATATTATATTATTGTGTGGTCCTAGCCTTGGCTATTGCAACATAAAGACAAAAAATGTTCATGTGCCATTAGGATCACAATACGATTCTACATTTAAATTCGATAAAGGACATGATTATTCTGGTTTTGGTGCCATTGCAGCTACGACTTCTGTACTTATTGTCACCTTTTTTCAACCTGTGGTCTTATTGTCTCAATACGATGTTTTTTCAAAATGCAATTTTCTTAACCCTGTGACCCACTTGGGGAGGTGTTGCACAGCAAGTCGGGGGATATTTTCGATTTGCGGAGCGGAGCGACGGCTCCGAGGAGCGTAGCGACGAGTGCCTCTAGCATGGCATCACTGTACGATGTTTTTAAAATACGAGGTCTTATTGTCACCTGAAGAGGTCTTAATGTCACCAATAAATGTAAATGTGGTCTTATTGTCTAAACGGTGGTCTAATTGTCACCTCGTTGGTCTTATTGTCACCTGTGGTCTTATTGTCCCGATGTCTTATTGTCACCTTGCCAATTTTTTTTTCTTCACTGTCCTTTATCGATGTGGTGAATATGTGCACTTGCAGTCTTTAGACAACACTTTAGCGCGTGACGTGGACATCACCAGCTGTGGGTACTTGCGCTACACCCGTCAGAAGATGGCAGGGCGACGTTTGGATGAACGTCTATAGACATAATTAGAGCACAGTGCTACTATACGGTGGCAAGGTGACAATAAGACATCGGGACAATCACAACGGGTAACAACAATAGCAAAGCAAGACGCCAGTCGTTCATATAATAGACACAACTGCAGTCGCAAAGGCATCGGCTGCATTCGATAATAAACACGTCATGTTATTCACCGCCGTCATAAAAGTGTATACCTAATTACACAGGTAATCAGATATATTACCGTGCTCTATTAGGCTCTGAATTTTAAAACACAGAATATATTAATATGACACAAACCCTTCAATTAGGTGGAAATAAAATAAATAGTCCGCTGTATTTTGGTATCCAACTCCACATCATCCTATCCTCTCATCGTCACCTGTAAGTGCTTGTACGCTACAATACGTCCACATAAAAATAAAAAATGTTTTGGTAAGAAATATTTCAAGTGCCGTACGGCCCACAATACGATGGTACATTTAAATTCTATCAATTATAGTGTTGCGTACATCCGCTTACAGGGGACGGTAACAGGAATGGATGATGATAGTTGTAATAATTATTAACAATTGTTATTGTAAATTGCTGTTTTATTAAATGTGCAAGATAATGTCACAAGACAAATTCAATTTATACTGCTTTAAACTTTTTGAATGAAAAAAGATCGCTGAAACTTTAGAAAATAAGCGATTGCTCGAATACTACTTTCTAAGTTCCAAAAAACGTCGTAAACTGAAATATCTAAATCAAAAGAAAGAGTGATTCTACAGAGGTCTAGTGCGGGAGTGCTCGTACGTTAAGCTTGGAATCACGTCTGGGAGGGTATGGGCCGTTTCAGTTTGTCCTATATAATCCTATGACTCCTCCTTACTTGTACATGACGACTGTGTGCTGCCGTTTCCCAATGTCCGTGTGTTCGCTTTCCATAATTAGCTGATTAACTATGCTCATAGTGCATGTTCTGCTCTGTGACTCAGTGTTTCAGATGTGCCTATTGCTGGCTATTAGTTCTATGATCAATGCGGGATATTGTTACTCACGTAGTCTTGTCACAGCGCCCAGTCAGATTCACATAATCTACTACGCATTGATGATTTCTCACAACTATCCTACTAGCTCTGGCGATGGCCCGTTTTTTCATTTCACCGTTGCCCGATGCTGTGATTATTATTTATAACTATTAATCTAAGGTCTCATCGTAACGCTGAAATCATCATGGATATCTATGTGCTAATAAATAGTATATTATATATTGCGCATTCAAAATATGTGAAGAGGGGTAGCAGCAGTGAAGAACATAAAAAATAATATGACGACAACGGCTTAGAACAATTAGCAACTCAAGTCGTTCCGATAATGAAAACATACCGGTCATAGCACACACGACGGCCACAACGGCTTCAGTTGCATTCGATAATAATAATACATTAATATTTATTAACAGATACATACATATATATACGTTGAGCACTTTGATTCACATAAGGTAACCCTGATCCCTAGTAATATTATCACACACCGAGGTCTAGTCTCCGAGACCTCGTTAATATAAACGTTTATATAGAACGACACCTAAAGAGTGAGAAGAACGATAGGTGAAGAGGAGACGTTACAGTACTACTCAGATTAACTAATGGCATAACTTATCAGGTCATTTTCCCAAAACGTATTAGCTGACAACGGATATAATAAGCATAGATTTGTTAATAGACGCGAAATCACTTTTCAACTTAATCATATTATGTCCCGGACAAATTAAATTTGCTAGTAACGGACCGATTGTGCAAGAAACGATGTTAGGGTGGATATTTGTTGGTCCTATACCAAAATAAAATATAAATACCGATCGGGATGCTTGTGCTAATATTACATTAATGAGCGAAGTTGTAATATGAATAATATTTTTAAGATAAAATGCATACATTTTGGCGTTTATAAACGATATAAAATGACACAAATAATTGATAACCAGTGTTTTCTTATAGGTTATAGGTTTCATAAATTCGTGTCAAATGACTTACTATTTTTAGTCACAATATTAACCATGAAAAACTTCGAGAAACCGAAAATGCTGTTATCAAAATAACACAATTATATTATATCTGGTCAAGTGAAAAACATAGTTCAATTAATAATTCAATGTTGACAAGCAAAAGTAAATTAAGAAATTTGAAACCTTTTTTATAAAATGGAAATAAAGGACATAAATAAATGCATAAATGACAGACAGACAAACATTTATTTTTATATACATATAATATATAAATTATACATTTGCGGACTGGTCTACTGACCTACTGTAGGATGGTAAGCCCCTGTAGTACGGGAGCACGGGGCCCTTCATTAATAAACGCCAAGGGGCCATAATTAAGCGATAGCACTCTTCAATCTTCATTATCTTCAACTGTAATTTCTGAATTGTATTATAATTTATAATTTTATAAAATACTATAAATTGATACACCTTGGGCCTTGAAAATATATTATTGGTGTAGTTACAGTTGGAATTATGTTAGTTTTACTTAAAAAATACTAATTTCTCCTTTGAATTTTCTGAATAAGGGGCCTGCATGCCACTCCACCCCTGCATGTATAGATTATGATGGTCAGCGGTGTATGGAAAAATTTAATATTGCAAAATTAACATGAAAAACTGTTACACTCAGGTCCTCAAGCTGTCAATACACGTGGTTGCTATACATAATATTGCTAGACATATATTTCATGAATGCATTAAATGATTTAGATTTTGACATAATATAGTGTAATGATATGCTCACATATCATTGTAACAAATAAACTAAAATGTAATAGTCTAATAATTAACGGACAGACTGTCACACTTAGAAATCGGACATCCTCAATAAAACCAATGTCACTGACAAAATGGGATGACCTGTATTATACGATTAAGAAATCGGCATGTAAGTACCAACGGTAAAATGTAGGGCGTGTGACTTTTTTATATGCTAATAGACAAAAGGAAGGCTAAGAAAAGTCTTTGCCGTTGAACAGAAATATAGTTCCCACTTTCCCAGACGCACAAAAACGTTATGATAAAGCCAATTGCGATACTCTTTGTTCAGCATATCCGCGTCATCACTTTAATCATTGTATAAGCACCACTCATTTCAGCAACAACCTCCTCATACTGAAATCTACTAGAAACGTGTGTTTTAAGGTATTATTTTGTGTCACCTAAAACTGCCACAGCTTAGCTAATATTCAGCTGCGTGTCAGGTACCTACCTATAAGGCATATAATATATTATATTGCTTGCGGATATTAAATACATAATATGTGTATTTTGCATAAAATTATAGTGTGCGGTGCATTTGATCAAAATCTACTTAATTGTATTATTTTACATTTTAAAATTTAATTTATAAAGAAGTTTTACTAAATTGTTATTATAATTGGACATTTTGTACGTAGATATTTTGTCATTGTATTTTTTGACCTAGATTTTACACTGTCACAGCGTACAATAAGGTAATGAAACCACCACTATCGTAAATGAATAACATTTTTTGTGCCACGATTACGCCAGAATGACCAAAGTAAAAAGAAAACTACTTTTACCTGCCGTGGCGGCTGGCGGCTCGTATATAGGGTAAGCTAGCATGATAAGGTAAGGTCCATGAGGAAGTATGCCACGTATAGAATATTATGGCACTATCGCAGTAACGTAGCGCATCTATAAAGCTTTTGAGAACATTCTCGATAATTTTAGAACTATCCCCATACAATATTGACAAAAATGTACTCTTATTACTATTTACTGATGCCATATCGTGACACCACGAATACCACCTAAGTTGTATTCTGTAATTGTATGGCACTACTGTATTAGTAATTGTATTAGGCGACATTATACATAATAACAGCAAAAAGTCCAAACTCTGGGGGATAGGAAATGAGCTGAAAGACGCATTCAGAGTATTCCTAACTACATACGTTGTAGAAATTGACTGAAAAGTGTTTTAAATAATTATTATAACATACTTAGGTGATAAAACTATAAGTCCCAGAGAAGTTTGCATCCCTTTATGTAGAATAGTTTTTAACATTTATTAAATAAAAAATTGTGAGTATAATTTGATAAAGGTAATAATTAAAAATAGTTAAATATATTTTTTTTTTGTCTTATACGTTATTTATAAAATTAATCTTTCGGTTATAAAAAATATATACGAATATTATATAAAAAAATGTGCATGTTTTATTAAGATCAAGTGTTGTTGGTTAGTCAAATTCATAAAATTTTATTAAAGAAACAATAATAATAATATTAATAATGATAATAATAATAATAATTGTATATATATGGCCAGATAGTGGTCTCACCACAACAGGCACTTCTTGACCGGGTTCATGTTGGAGCCTAGAGGACACCGGAAGTCGTCGCTGAAGTCTTTCATGTTAGAGAACGGGCCGTTGATCCGGAAAAGGAAGGGCGAATGATCGTCTTTTTTTATCGCTTCCTCGTCAAATTTCATATGATTCTTGGCGCACCACACATTAGCGTTGCTCAACCAGAACATCTGCCAAGGCGTGTACTCTTGGAGCCCGGGCAGTCGCGGTTCGGCCCCGTGTTCTTTGACCCACTCTCTGTACGCGTTATATGCTATTCTCAAGCCTCCATTGTCTGAGATATTTTCACCCAGCGTTAGAGTGCCGTTCACCTGCGGAAAATAAGTCATTTTGTTAGGTGTTAGTGGTTGGTGAGACTGTGCAAATAAGGAAATAATATCATGATGTGGAGGGGATGAGATATGAGAATTGCCCAAACATTTTAGACAATTGAAAAATAACTATAAATTCTTTTTTAAATAAAATTGATCGGTGTTTTTTGAAATGTCAATTACACCTCAACGACGATGGAATAAAAATATGTCATATGCGAGGTGACTCGTTGAAAAGATAAGTGTGGTCGTGTGGGGACGTTTTTAACTTAATATTATATATTATAAAATATATACTTTTGAATGGGATTATTGAGTGATACCAACTACAATAAGAAAAATATTGAAATGTTGATGTATATTCTTTGAATAGGTATAAATGTATAACTGCAAATGTATTCTCTCAATAAGAAATGTAGTGCTTCTGTTATCAGAACGACATGCAGTATTATATCTAGTCACAGATATATATATAATAAACTAGATTGCCAACATTGATAATACGTGAAGCAAAGATCCGCCATTTTATCTGAGGCCAGAAGTATTATCAATTATTATCACAGTATTAAATAACGAATTATGACCACCTGTTCACTGTAGTTGTCCTGTCAAGGGTCAACGTTTTTGGTTTTTCTACTTTTTTTTGGAAATTTATACTTTTTATTGTGGTAAAATTGGTTTAATCTAAATTATTAAAAATAATTAAATATTAATTATTAATAATTACTAAATAATTATGCCCTATAAATGTTGTGCGTATGGTTGTAATAATGTCGATGGAGTGGACAAAAATATTAAGTTATTTAGGTAAAATTATAAATATTTAATGGACAATTTATCTATTACGTATTTTACTTATTTTATTTTAAAGATTTCCCTTGAATGAAACCACGAAAAAAAATGGGTTAATGCCATCCAGAGAAAAGATTTTAAAGCATCCAAATATAGTAGACTGTGCAGTGCACATTTTAACCCCGATGATTTTATTGAAAATCCAGACAGATTAGTTTTAAAAGAAGGTGTAGTTCCTAGTAATTTTAATTATACTGCCGCTCCCATTAAAAAATACACAAAGAAAAAAATAACTGGAAATGTTTATTCTCCAGTACTTAGTGAAATAGTTCAGAATAACAGTCATCCAGGTATTTCAACCAATTATCACTTAGGTACCTATCTATATATAAAGTATAAATGTTAATACAAAATTCAATTTTTAGAAGATTAAACAACTTTAAATGAAGTAGATACAGCAATTGACTTAACATATTATGGACCCAGTGAGTAAAAATTTGTTAATTTAAAAAATATATTTAGTATATTAAATTTTATTTTAGATACTAGTCTTTCACCACATACTGTTTCTAAAAAGAAACATTGAAGAATCTCCAATAAAAACTGGTTTGAGAAAAAAGATTAAAGTACTGCAACAAACAGACAACAGTACGAAGACAGAATATGAAAATAACTACACTTGAGGTATTGTATTTTTATGACAGTATGGTAGGTATGGTTTTATGTGGTATAAGGTAATTATGTGATTTAATTGAAATATCTATATATAGTTTAAAAATTAATGTTTGTTTGCTATGTTTTTCTTCTATAGATTATTACAGGATCATTTACAAAACAAGAATAATTACGAATAACTCGAAAATATCGATAACAAATCATTCTGTATATTATATTTGATTGTATAAGTCTATGTATATGTATATTAATAGTAAATTTAAAACTGTGTGTTCATAGTGTAAAAATGTAAACTTTGGATGTGTGTGGTTGTCATGGATATAATAATAACAAAAATATAACAATACATTCTGAGAGGAGCGATAATACGTATATTATGTAATTATAACAAACATTAACAAATAAATGGTGCCTATATGATATATTTTTTGTGTGCATTTTTGTTCATAACATAAATATATTTCCAATGTCACTTTGGCTATGCAAAGTTATTGAATTATTAGTGTACATTTCTTGTTAAAATATTAATATCTATTCTGTTTAATGTATTGGATATGGATTAGTCAATATTTGCTCAGTGGTTGAAATATGTAAAATTGCAAGCAAATATTTTTATATAATATTACAAATTATTAGGAGTTGATGTCTACAATCAAATCATCAACTGACACAGAAACCACTGACACAATTGCAAAAAATTTTACGGAAACATTTTTAAATGATTTAATACAAAATAGTAATGTAGAACCTACAGCACGGCGATATACTGATGAAGTAAAAAAGTTTGCCACAACAATTTATTTTTATTCTCCTAAAGCTTACAGTTATATCAGGTATAATTAAACTATTTAAACTAAATCTATAAATTGTATTAGTAAAATTGTGAGTTAAGTACAAAATGCTCAGTCATAATTTAATTTAAAGGTCTTCAATTAGCCTACCATGCCCTAGTGCCATTAGAAATTGGATTTCAAATATTGAAACAAATATTGGTTTTTTAAAAAATGTTTTAAAAGAAATTGCAAATTTCCCTGACGAAGAAAAATATTGCTGTCTTATATTAGATTCTATGAGTATTAAGAAGGAAATTCATTGGGACAGAGTTAATCATAAGTATATAAAAAAATACAAATTATTGAATTAGGATAATGAATTATATAAATGTGTACGTTTATCTTAATTCTTTGTAGGTATAGTTGATATTGTGATTATGGAAATAATGTAACTGTTGAAGATTGTGAATTGGCAGCTACAGAAGTTCTTGTTTTTTTACTATCAAGTTTAAAGAAAAAATGGAAATGGCCAATTGGATATTGGTTTGTGGATAAAGTAAAATCAACGGTTCAATCACAATTAATCAAAATGGCTATTACTAGCTGAGTGCAATGAATTTACATTTGTAAAACAACAAGGCGGTCTTAAATTACCTTCAGATAGTGTCTATAAAACCATTAGATTGACAGAAAATATATTTAAATCATTGATAATTGATAAAAAAAAAAATTGTTTGCTAAAAACATGGACCAAAAAATAATTAATTATGTACAAAATGAATTAGCAACATCTTCAACAGCATTCAAAGAATGTAATGATTGTTGGGATGCAACTGACTATTCAAAACCACATAAAATAGATATAATTAACCAAATTACCAGAACATACCTCAAGATAAGACTACATGCCTACAGTAAAATACTGACATCGTCAATTGCAAAAACGGCAAGCAAAAGACAAAAACTGACAGACTATTTTATTTTATAACATGTGATCTACTATTCAATGTTATATTAACAATAGTTCACAAAGGACTATAATTTATAAAAGCTATAATGATTTTTATACTATACAATCTGACAATGAATGTTTAATTTTTAATACTTGATATGTCATATGTGATTTATTTAATTTATTTAAGAATTTATTAATGTTATAAAAACTGGAGGTGATATGTTTTTTTTATTTATATGTAAAACTAAAAATATCTAAATTAATTATAACTTGTGAACTAAAGAATCATTTTTCTAATATTGAAAAAAAAATATTTGTTATCAATATAATTAATAACTGATATGGGGTTCCGGCCTCGGTCAAGATGGCGGATTTCTGTCTTCAATTAAATACACAGGCTGTATAGGCCAGTTAGCAATCTAGTTTGTAATATATATCTGTGTATCTAGTAGGTATATACATATTTCATAATATACCTACTTGTATGAACCATGAACCTCGTACGGTATGATATAATTTAATGTGGGTACGTATTAAAACAAAATCATAAAAGTCATTTTTTTTAAAACGAAATGATGCTTGTATTATTCATTCATCCATTTATTGTAATTTGTATCTTCTAATTTTGAATTTATTAAACTATATAATTTTCATACCTCGCATAGGATATGTTAATTTCATGCATATTGATGACTGTTTATTGAAGAGTGCGAGTGTGGCTGGTATATACTTATACACAAGGGGAATTTTTAACAATTCCATTCGAAACACATATTTTAATGGATTTTTAAATGTCAGAACAAATAATTAAAATTCATAGATATAAAATGTGCAATTACTATTCGATTATTCTGTGAAATCGAAGAACCATCATTAAGATTTTATTGATCTAGAAAAACGAAATTCGGGAAAATTACGTTTTTAACAAATAATAATTTGACTTCGAAATTAAACCGCATAAGAACTTAGTCTCGGAAATTTATTTTATCAAACACACCTTGAGATCGACTCCATGAACAGAGTAATTTCCATATTGATTGATGAAACACTTTTCCTTTTCCAAAAAGCGTTTATTTGTCTCCTCCGCCCACCAGTCTACCTTGTCGCCATTCATATCATATTGTCTGCCTTTGTTATCAAAACCATGAATGATCTCGTGACCAATTATATATCCAATTCCACCGTAAATCATGTATTGAGGACGATCGTTAGAGAAGAACGGACTTTGCAAGATAGCAGCGGGAAGTACTGGAAAGTTTAAATGATTTATATATTCTGTTCCACGAGTGATCATGCCAGTTCTTAGCATCCCCCTACGTCACCCTGCTATCGAAACTGGTTTCCCTATGACAGGGTGTGGAGTAGGGGATCCAGTTTTGGTCGGTGCATGGCATGATTTCTCGTGGAACAGAGTATAGTATATTAAATATTGTTGTAATACCTTTGTTTATGTACTAATATTATATTAGGATTACTGTTCGAAAAACTCATTTCAAATATATTCCATAATTCATAAAGTATCTATACACTCAATGTGGTTAAAAGAAAAATTCGCATTTAATTATATAAGCAATTTGATTTTAATTTCAATACATTGTGTTGAGGTAAGGTGCACCCAAAATATATTGTGGTTGGGCCAAGAAAATAATTGTTTGATAACTTCTAAATTTTGTAAACTTATTTCAAATTATAAATCATTATTTTGGAAGACTGATTTTTATTTAAAATATTAATTTTAATTTTCACCAATACAACACAATTGACAATGAATAATTATCAACTAGGTACCTATACGTATAGTATATACTTTATATTATTCCAATACTACTCACTGATTTTGTTTTCAAAAAATATATTTACTGCATTTGCCATTAGTGGCCAATCTTTTTTATGAGCAAAATCCATTAAATCTGTATTTTTCCCTAATTTCGAAAACTTATCGTCAATGTTAAATTTAGTCAAATTCAATAATGATGTATAATAGTCTTGGTCGTTGACTTCCACCTAGGAAAAAAATGTATAGTTAGTAAATAGTAACTAAATACTCATAAATCGTAACAAAAACAATTTTTAAATGTTTTTAGTTTGTATCTTGGGAGATTAGAGTAAGATTTCTAATCTCCTATGCGCTATAGTCTGGACCTATGGAATTAATTACATTTTCATAAAACGCAATCAACTTTCTGTCATCAAACAGCTCATCAGGGTATGCAATGTGATGTGTCATTGCCTTTGCTTTGTCAATCGCTTTTTCCCTAAATGAAATAACAAAAATAATAATGGTATAATGTTTTTTATTGTCTACCCTCCGTATGTATTTCACATTGTGCTATGTCAACCGAAAGTCAATCTTTACTTTGTTTTATCGTCCATCCACTCATTTAACGATAATGTTTTATACAGTTCCTCCTTGATACCATTCACCATTTCTGAAGCTTTCTGTTTATCGTTTTCGTTGGAAAACCGTCTAACGTATGACGATGATATGGCTAAATTAAAATATTTAGTACTGACATTGAAGCATTCCTTCCATCGGGGTTGTGTTGTATTATCTTTCTCGTACATAATCTGTCTTTCTCTCAGTTCTTCTGTCAGATAACTTAAGGAATCAAGAACATATCTCCAAATCACATAATTTGCTTGGACCCTGCCGATAAAATCATATTAAGTTCTACAGAGATTTCAAGTATATAGATAATTTCACTAAAAATTTCATAAAAATTTAACAAGTTATTCAATACCTACGTAATTCCAAAATTATATAATTGAAAATGAAGTTTTATCATGTTGATATAGATAGGCTATTGCTGCT